AGGTTAGTATGCGCATCAGTCTATAAAATCCACTGGTTCTCACACATAAGCGTATGTGGCTAGGGAGTGGTGAGAGCTGGGAGTTTTGTTTTCAGAGCGTCCTAGGACACAATGGACCAGTCTGACTGCATAGCACTCTTTGTCAGACTGGTTATGCGATAGCTATATCAACAAGCGTGCTCAAACAACTAACATTTTGCTGAGTTGTAACGTACACAGCATACTAATGACTAGGGGTGCTCCGATCAGGATTTTTGAGGCCGATCACCGATCACAAAAAGTAGTATCTGCCGATACCGATCACTGATACCGATCTTTTTAAAGCAGGGGTGGGCAAACTTGGCCCTTCCAGGCCACTTTCCTGCAGAGTTTAGCTCCAACCCTAATCAAACACACCTGAACCAGCTAATCATTGTCTTCAAGACTACTAGAAGGCTACAGGCAGGTGAGTTTTATCAGGGTTGGATCAAATCTCTGCAGGAAAGTGGCCTGGAAGGGCCAAGTTTGCCCATCACTGTTTTAAAGCCTTCTTTTTATCATTTATAACTATTTATAGTGATACTCCAATTGGGATTTTTATAGACATTTATTCAGGGTCTGAATTTCATTTTTGAAAATGGGGGGAATTCCCCTCTTAGGTGACTCTTGTGAGAGGGGAAGCAGCACGGACTGTGCTTTCACACAGGAGTCCGCTACAGATCCATGGCTGTTTACCACAAACACAACATTTATCCATTAGTTTGATTTCAAATCCAAACATTGTCACTGAAAATGCTTTTTCAGCATTGCAATTCTTTTTTTTGCACAGTACAGTAATACAATCTTTCACAGACATGTTTAAACACAATAAATATAAGCAACACATTATTCAATGCTTTTTATTTTTGCATTTACTTCTAGATTTATATATTAAGTTGCTCAAGCAATTGGCAAAACTTTTAAACTACTTTTCTTACGTTATCACAAACTTACCATTGACTGAAATAGTCAGCTCTACTGCCTTTCCTTTTGCATTTAAATCTTTAGTACAGCAATCCTGCAATCCTGCGGTTCATAAAGAACTTTGTTTTCCTACCTCCAC